ATTCTAACTAACCTCAAAGCCGCTCGTTGACATTGTAGTCGAAGCCAGTGACTGATTAGAAGAGGCACGAGATAGATCAAACGTTTCGTCTAAACATGAATACGAAGGGTGAATATGTCCAGGTGCAGAACAAAGTGGAGCCATTCTAATGGCACCGCGACTTCCAGCGTAGAAATCATGGTAGTTAAAAAATTTGTTGGACTACCATACCTTTACTTTCGTCAGCAAGTATCACACCTTTTGTGCCTTTTCGTCTCGAGACATACTGAAATCAGGCAAAATCATTTCATTTATGGCAAGCTCCATAAACAGCATACTGATGGATTCAGGCCTTCACACAGAGGGACACAAAAAGGCACTTCGCTCGTCAAGCATACCGAAACTTATTTGTAAGGAAAGGAGGGTTAAGTGGGCGCTCAGAGCATCTACATTATACATTGGTCTCAATCCTCCCATTTTGTTACTATTTCTTACCCATTCATTTCCAGGACTTGTCAAACCGACAAGTTTGGGCTACCTAACAAGGGAATGGTTTCAACTTCCCATGGAACTTTGAATGGAGACCTAGGTACATCGATAGAGCTCGAATGCTGATTACGAATATGCAGATTAAAAGTGCTACGGGGGCCTTTTAATCTGCATGTTTTGGCAAACTTTGGCCTCCCAGACGAGTTCTGGGTGGTCAAAGTTTGCGAAAACTCAGTTTTGGCTCGTAAGCGCTGCTGATCGATGGCAGGCAGTGCCACCGTGGCCTAGTGGTAACGGTCTCGCTTCAAAGGCAAATGCTTGTGGGTTTGCATCCCGTTGGCGCGAAAGTTTTTGCTTCGTCTCCTATAAGAGCTTTCACTCTAATTTTGGAAATTCTTCCGTGTCACGGCCCAGCAGAGCAAGTATGACGTACTCGATCGTATGGATTTGGTCACTGTGCCTTCTCTGAACTCATCAACCATCGACTATTCGAAGTTTGGCCAGAATCACAATTTGGCCAGAAAGTCGTTTCGGGGAGGGGGTGGGGTATTTTGACCCCCTGAGCACGGATATCACATCCGTTTGACGCGAAAACGATCGGTTCCCTCGTTCAGTTGATGACCACAACAACGTGAAAGGCTACAAGCGTTTTCTCGCCAAACGGATATAATATTCGTTTTCAGGGGGTCAAAATACCCCTCAGGAACGAGTTTCTGGCCAAACTTCGAATTGTCGGATGGGTAATGAGTTCAGAGAGGGCAGATAGTGACCAAATCCATACTCGATCGAGTACGTCATATACTTGATCTACTTGATCTACTTGCTCTGCTGGGTCGTAAACTCGGAAGAATTTCGAAAATTAGAGTAAAAGCTCTTATAGGAGACGAAGCAAAAACTTTCGCGCCAACGGGATGCAAACCCACAAGCATTTGCCTTTGAAGCGAGACCGTTACCACTAGGCCACGGTGGCACTGCCTGCCATCGATCAGCAGCGCTTACGAGCCAAAACTGAGTTTTCGCAAACTTTGACCACCCAGAACTCGTCTGGGAGGTCCCCGTAGCACTTTTAATCTGCATATTCGTAATCAGCAGACCCTATTGACGTACTTAGGTCTCCAAAGTTCCATGGAGAAATTGAAAACATTCCCTTCTAAGAGTTCGACGGTGATCGTGATCGTAACTTGTAGGGTTAGGTTCTGAAAAAGGAGTCCTGAACTGTGGTGAGGTTGTCCAAGCAGCTGAATCGTCCGGTGTGTTCCACCATAGCTCGACGGCCTTTAGACGCGTGTTTGAGAGTGGTGCAGCCAAGCGGCTTCATAGACGCAAACACTGTAAATTCGTCTCGAGCTTGATGACGGACCGCTTCACCTTGCCGTGACTTTGGGCTCAAAAGCAACGGCTTTTTGATGGCGCCTACGCCATAACTACTGATTCTAATAGTTCATAGGAGGGAACGGAATCTCAGTATGAGGCGACTAAGAAGAGGTCGAAGTGATACGTTGTGAAAGGAGCTCGTCCAAGACTCTCTTTTTAAGAGGGACGGTCACACTGACAGGGCTACTTCACACATTCCGATGATGTCCTAGGTTAAGCACCTACTCACGCCTCCTAGAGGAACGTCCCGGAGTATTTTACCTCTGAACTCCCATATACTGTGTCATCCTGTGCGACATAAATGATGATACGCCCCACAAGTAATTTCTTCCTCATTTTTCCCTTGCAGTTTCGAAACAGTCACGATTAGTTGTGACACTGGAAGTAATGAAACTGGTTTTTGTCCAAAGACAGTAGAAAGCTAGGGTGAATACTCATAGGGGTAAGTAGAAAGTGAGTAGTAAGTACACCCAAGACTAAGTCATAAAGTAAAATAATTAAAATCGAAATGCAACTGACCGGTGCCACGACCATACACTGATCATAAAATTTGAGCTCTTCAGGTGCAGCATTTTTCGCTCTGTCAGCATCCTCAGCCTTTCTTAAAACCTCGGTTACAGAACAAAAATAAACTTAGGCCACTTAACTTTAGATGTAAAGTTTTCAGCCGATAAATACGAACGCTATTATCGCTATTATCAACTCACTTGAATGTCAAAGTCGCTGTGCCACAGTTTTTCAGAAACTTCGGCATCGTGCCAAACATAGAAGTTCGTCTGTCTTCTCGTGGCAGCGAGCAATGCGACACCTAAAAACAAGATGGGTAACAGTTCGTCTCAGCTTATAGTTCGGGGTACTAAGTTCACGTTTTAGTGGTATATAAGTTGAGAGAGCTTGAGAGGAGGCGGAGGTGGTACAGTGACAAGTGGCGCGTTATCACTCCGCCGCGCCTCCTGGTCCAAATCCCGGGAACTCTCGCCCAGGCCAACCAATCCTTCTACCCTCCGGGAATGGTAAATTGGTAACAGATTCGTCTGGGAATAAAAACATTGACATCGCCTGCTTCTGCAAATCATTGTATGGGCCATGTCGCATAAAATGAGCAACTACCGATTTCGAATGGAAATGGAATGCATGGCGCATCTCGAAATGAAATCGAACCAGGCCGGAAGCTTTATACAGTATAGTTCGCTGCGGACGGTTGGGCGCGTCATGCTAGAGAACGAGTTTGGCGCGGTGCCAAACCCGTTCGCTAGCAGTTGTTAGCAAAAGACAAGACTGTATCATGTCGTCTGTATTACTCGTTTTCTACCACCTGGTTGTCATGACTGCCGGACACGCCCAAGCGTCCGCAGCGAACTAGGGTATAATTTAATTTCAGAATTGACCCAATAGCACGTTGGATAACTGTACGGAAATGCTGGTCTCTTTGTAGAAGTAGAAAATAAGCTATCCCTGGTTCTCAAGAAAGCAAGAAGGTGTTAAGCTGAAGATGAGCTGGATGATTGCTGAGCCGGCGTAAGTGGGTTCCATCATTACAGCAGTGTAAGGTAATCAAAATTTCATAAGCTTTGGGTCAAAATGGAATGCAACATACCTTTCCGAATTTTGAGAAGAACGACTGAAGCTGTGATGGTGTCACTCGAGGTGATATGTTTGTCACAATGATTTTCCGCTCCTCCTTTGATTTTGCGTAATTGGCCAACGATGCATCGAAATCTAAGCAAATCCCACTTCGTATATTATTCGGCAAAACATTCGAGCTGACAACTATTTCGTTCAGAATGTTCTAAAACAGCGGGTACGTTGATTTCCTGGCAGTCGGGTGTTAGAGGCGCTTGGTGCGACTGGAGCGCCAGTGAAGCATAAAGTAAATGAAGCAATCGAAAGTGCGCGGACTGGGCTCTTATTTTGACGATTAATTTTGGGTAAAAAAAAAACTAGCTGTGCGACAACTTTGGCGGTAAAAAACTAGCTGTTCACGGTGGCCCGTTCCGTACTCATGCGCTAACGCTTGCTCTTCGCTGTTGCCCTAGCAAACACGGAGCGCAGACGTATGAAGACAACGGCACGGGCTGTGCGAGAAATCTGCGGGTGAAGCCGCACTCAGGGGAAGGGTCCATTCCCGGCTGGTTTGCTCGATTGTGAGAGTCACTTCAAGTGAAACATTGTCAGAAGCTAAGCGTACATACACGGCGTATATGCGGCATCCTTACGTTCACGCGCCACTATTACATATCTATGTCTTCAAAATGAAATTCTAACCATCTGTTTCAGCCGAGTCAAAGTGCTGTCCGTCTGCTAGGAGCATCGGCAGAAGACGTCGATATTTGATGAACTCGGCCGCAGAATGGGACCAGGTTCGTCTAAAATCGAACGTGTTTAGCAGAAGAGGCGCGTATTTACAAAGAAACTTTATCAGTAAACCCTCAAACTCATTGCGGTATCTCAGATGAGAGGTTATCCAGGAATTGGCGCAATATAATTTAGCGAAAACAAAATATGCAAAAACAGTCGGCCGGCACCCTCCCCCTCCCCTCCCCACGCCTTCATGTGGCACACAGCCGCCGATTCGAAGAACGCTTCAGAAACGGATAATCTCTCGAAAACAAAATATCTAGATTCGTGATATTCGCAGAAATAACAGTGTTTGAATTATTTCGTTGTATGGAATCAACAGCATCTACACGGCAATCGTGCGGTTTAATAGGTCATATCATTGCACTTCCGGGAGTTTTTTTCTTACCTTCTCTCTATGTGAATTGAGAAGCACCATGCTACAACTAGGAGTGGCGTGGAAAGTGGGTGGTGGGTTGGGTCGTGCCCCACGTGTGTGATGTTGCGTGTGCGTGTGTGTCGTGGACGTGCCGTTCGTGCGGTGTGTCGTATGATGTGTGGATGTGTGTGGAATGTGTGTGATTGTCGTTGTATGGAATCAAAGCATTGCACAGCCATTCGTCCGGTAGGTCCATATCATGGGCCACTTCGGGAGTTTTTTTTCTTCGTTTGAGTATGCGCCGCAAAAGGGAAGGCGGAGCATGGAGGAATTAGCGTGTTTCACGGTCCTGTATCTCCATTCCTGCGCATGTTAGGACGGGGAAACCGCTACGCTTCGACAGCTGGGGGGGCTGTTAGTCACGCACACCCAAACTATGTGTGATCGTACCATGTCTCTTTAACTACTTGTTCATGTGAAGAAGCCCAACTACACACCATTTTTGATCACCGGACGTGTCTTTTGGGTAGATTTTCTCAGAAGACTGGGGCGCATGAAACGATTTTTCCCCCAAATATATTACTCACCTCAACTTTCCCACACTAAAAAATCGTGCACGAGTGACAAATGACTGAAACGCTTCCGTCATATCGTTGAGACCTCTGCTTTCCAGATTCTGGCCGTGCAAGCGCCGTAGCGCTTTGAACATCGTCTAAAACACATTCTTAATATTAACGAAATTTGCGAAGGTAGATTTCAAAGGGGTGCTCTTGACTTACTAGCAGGGCACATCAATGGTTGGGGATTTTAGTCGAGTCTGTACACCCCCCCCCCTTTTTTGGGGTTTTGGTACGACACCCTCCCCCCTCCGGCCCTCTGTTCCTCCTGCCGTCGAGTGGGGGAGCAGGGGGCGAGGGGAGGGGGGGAGGGTAAAATAGCACATGTGAAACAGGAAAAGTCGCGAGACAATACGACCCCCCTCTACCAATTTTCAGATTTTTCCCAACTTCCTTCCATTCCCGAAAAGTTCCCTACTTTTCCCCGAAAATTTTGCTGTCGAGTAGGGAGGGAGGCATATAGTACGCATGAAACAGGAAAATCACCAAAAGTCAACCACCGCTCCTACAACGCCAAAACGTAAATACGACCCCCCCTCCCAACAATGACCAAGTACGACCCCCTTTTACAACGTCCGTGAAGCGAGAAAAATCAACTATCAAAATAAATTTAAAATCAACTATCAAAGCAAATTTTCCCGGTCAAATACGACCCCCTCTCCTGGCGGCCAAATATGACCCCCCTATTGGGGATTCCCCAACAACGATGTGCCCTGTTTACTGGGAATTTAAAAAAAATCGAATTCTCCCATGGTCTCACTTTATCACCATCGATCAGAAAATGCTGCGCTTCATATAACACCTCACATCAAAGCAAAGCTCATCCACGCGCTTCACGCGACTGTGATGTATCTACTATGCTGTCCCATTCAGTACTAAGGAAATTCAACGGAGGACAATGTGGAGAACTCGCGCTTCCTCTTTTATCTCCAAAATTCAAGGATAACTCAGAACTAAGTAGTGGCCTTGGGCTGTATCACATGAACTCTTCAGGTCCCAAAGACCCAGATACAGCCTCGATCGCTGTCGTCGCCGGGCATTCGTTTCAGGGGCTGAGGTTCGGCGTGGCAGCCTGTTCCCAACAATTCTGGAAGTAGGCAGGTGACCGCAATTGGTGGAAAAAGAGCTGGCGCTGTGCTGAATCTAGTCCCCTGAAATGCCCAGCGTCCACAGCGAAAAAACCATAGGTAAGTCCCGAAAAAAAAACCCAACAGCAGCTCTGGATAAACGGTTCTAAACTGGAAAAGATGACCTCCAGGAGCTAGTACTTAAAGAATCACAACTTCCTCTCCATTATAATCGTACGGTAACATCAACGCAAGATTTCATGTATTCTACATTAGAAATTCTGTAATCCATAAAGAGACATTTGATATTCAGTCACATCTTACCTTAATTTTAACCATCCTGAATATGAGATAGTTCCGAGAGCGGAATCAATTTGCTGTGACGCGAATGAAACCGTTGAAAAAGACTCGTGCTTGGCAATAGATGATAGCTATGCTTCGCTATGATGAATCACAATCGATTTCAACAAATATCGATCCTATTTTTCAGAGCTTAAATTTTATCACACCATCGTATTTTCCCTTTGAATTTCGTAATTTTTACCACAAATACAGAAGAAACATATTCTCGCCACCCTTAAACAGCAATTCTCATACAGACAACAGAATAGATTTTATGCATATCAATATCATATCAATGAAGCTCCTCAGAAGATGCTACAAGAATTTGCAAAAAGCTAAAAATTGGGTCGTCTATAATTTCCGGGGCTCTATGCCGATTTTCGCTGAAGACGCTGGGGCGTGTCAGGGAAAGTTGGGAAGGGTGGGGT